CCGAAACGTAAACTCAAAGATAAAGTCGATTGGTTGACTAAAATACGCAAACAAAAATTAATGTCCTCCTGTCGAGGGACATCGCTGACAGAAAAAATGCAAGAACAGCAAATACATTCTACAAACAGTAATATAAGTGAAACAATGGCAGCAGGAGCCGCCAGTACTGTAACACAAGTCTCGTCACCGCGTTTACAAAGTCTTCGACAGTCGGAGAGCAGTCCAAGATCTTCGACACCTCGTAGACGTTTGTCACAAAATCATCTATCCTCGCCCTCATCATCTACACATCATAGTCCACGCACACCCACCTCAAGTCGAAGAAATAGTGAAACTACTCTTCTTCGTTTCTTTAGTGTTCAAACGCAAAATGCCTCTACAACCTGCTCCTCCAATAGACAGCAGCCGCCATCTCCTTTATCCTCGGCCGATGTGGGAGATATGCGACCCTTGTCACCCATTACGGCCGGTTCACCTCTTAATCCCAATCCTTCCTCCTCATCGAACAACATAACAAATCCAAATGCGCCTTCTTTACATCCAACGCCCTCGTCGGCAACCACCTGCACTGAGTGATTTAGTTTTATAATACATATTATTTGAGTTGTTAGTTTTATACTTTTACTAAATTTATTTATTTTTAACATTTCTTCTATTTTTTCACTACATTATCATATTTTTATTTCGTTTTAACAAACGTTGTTGTCTTTTACAGATTTCGCGTTAACTTTTTTGCATTTTTACCACTTTATTCCATAAGATTTTTTTGTTTAGTTTTTTATTAAATAATTTTTTTATCTGTAAATTATTTAGTTTATAAGTTAAGCATAACTGAATTTTTTTATTGAAACTCTAGTTGTTAGACTCTAAAAAATTCTTAACTTCTTCAAAAAAGAATTTTTAATTACTTTAGTTTTTAATACAACAACAAATTGGTAACCAATTTATTGTTCACTACAACAATTTGCTGCTTTTTCCGTTATAGAAAAAATGGTTGAAAAATAATAAAGACTTATAAAATTATTTATAATTTAATGGAGTTATGATCATTTTTTTGGTGGATTTACTGGGGGACTTAAAAAAATCGTTCTTATTTTTTCTCTCTCAGACATGTTGGGAATCTAGTTTTTACTTTGGACTATAGTCTAGTCTATATTCTGGAATATAATCTATTCCATAGTCTGTATTATAGTCTAGTTTATAGTCTAAACTATGGTCTATAGTCCGGTTTATGGCCTGGTCTATAGTCTAGTTTGTAGTATAAACTAAAGTCTAGTCTATAGTTTGGAATATAGTTAAGATTACAGTATAAACTGTAGTCTAGGCTATACTCTATGGTCTGGGATATAGTCTAGTCTAGTCTATATTGTGGAATATAATCTATAGTCTGTGTTATAGTTTAGTTTATAGTCTAAACTATAGTCTGGTTTGTGGTCTGGACTATAGTATAGTCTGTAGTATGAACTAAAGTCTAGTCTATAGTTTGGAATATAGTTTAGATTATAGTCTAAACTGTAGTCTAGGCTAGTTTTACAGTGTGGACTATAGTCTAGTCTATAGTCTGGGCTATATTGTCGTCAATAGTCTGGACAGTTGTCTAGTCTTTAGTTTGGACTGTAGTTTAGTCTAAAGTGTGGATTATAGTCTAGATGGTAGTCTGGTGTATAGTCTGCACTATTGTCTAGTCTATAGTCTATCTAGAAAAGTTTCCGAATGCAGCATTGAAACGTCAGATATTTTTCATAAAATTTGCACTCAAAAATATTGAGTCAAAACTTTATTCGTCTTTTATTCTCTATTGCAAATTATTTCAGTTTTTTTTTTCCTTTCGATAAATGTTAACAATAATATTATAATAATGATTAATTTCAATGTTTCTTAATCTTAGACTTAGCATGCGTTGTAGTACCATTAGCTGTTTGCTTTTGAACATCATTTAAATCCTGCTGTTTACGTATGGCAGTACTTTGACTTAGGGTTTTGAACATATTGCGACCAACACCAAATAATAAAATCAAATGTGTTAAATGTAAAACAAAACTGGAGAAATGTGTACTGGGATAGGTATTCCAACAGAATTCTATAAGACCCAAAAGAAGATAACGTAAACCCAAACTGTAGTTGGTAGACCAAGTCAAATAGGGCAATGAGTGGAAATACCAAACATAGAATTGATAGTGTAGAGAACGAGCACATAGCACGCCTATGAAATTGCACAGGAAAAATGGCAACAAAGCCAATTGGGTACATTGATCGAAATGTACTGATACTTTATCGGGGTCTGATTGGAATTGTGTAGATTTTTCTGTTTGTTGCTGCTTAATTGGTGCCTTGAGACCGGTAGACTTTTGTAAACCCTTCTCAAAACTGTGTAGAAAAGCTTCCTGTTCAGCAGTTAATTGCTCTTCCGGCTCGTCTGCAGATTTTGTTTCAATTTTAGTGGGTTTCTTGGCTTTTTTATTTTTGTTCTCTTTTAATTTTTTATTTTGTTGGTCCAATT